TGTTTCTCCCAATAGTGTGCTCATCTGAATTTATTGTCAGGCAGTTTCCTTGTGCTGTCCAAAGCACTAAAATTCAAATCAAAAGTTTATCAACGGAATGAAATCACTTACTTAGCTTTACATACTAAACATATAAATGATACTCTTAAATAAGACCCAGAAAACAGAAAAGAAACATTAAAATGCTTACCAGCAGCTGCAATTCCAATGAAAACAGAGGCTGTGTAGAAGGACCATGGGAAAGGCTGGATAAAAACGGCAATGTACATGCTAAAATATAACAGGTCAACGTATTACAGTCAAACAATACCTGAAATAGAATGCCAATTATGCCTTCTAGGAGTCAATTCTGAGAGTTCTCTTCTTTTAAAATTCAACCTGAAAAGGACTTCTCCAGTAGTGAAAAAAAAGGGGGGAGACAACTGTGACCTATTCATTTCTTAATTTACTATTTCAAACTTGTAAAATCAGACGTTGCATAAAGGTTTGTGACTGGCCTTTGCCAACAGCTTAACACACAGTGGGACAGTACTTCATAGCCCACAAGAGAAGTTCAGTTACTTCATTTGAATTCTCATTAGTCAACCTGATACAAAATACGTTCTTTTCAACTCTTGTGGAAAGAGATTTTTGGATACTAATTGTATTAGTGGTAAAATAAAAGCACATATACACAAATCTCATCACATTAAAACAATATGGTACCCCTGAGCATCAAGTAGAGAGCCAAATCTCTAAAATAATACTTAGTATTTCTATTCAATCCAAGTCAGCAAGTTCTTGTTAAAAGTTTAATACGTGCTTGAAAGCTGAAGGTGTTCTAATTAAGTGAAAGAAAATCAGGCTACTCACCTGTAAAATAAACCACTAGCAAACATAGAGAGTTGAGGTCCTACGATGGCAACCACTGATGGTGTAATCAGATTTGAAGCAGAGAACACTCCATAAATAATTGCCATGCTGCACACATAACACATAAAAGGAAAAAAACCAAAATTCTTGAAGCATTGTCTCAAAAGCTCACTTACTCAAACCTAGAATCTGCAGATTTTTTCTTGCAATAAGCACTCATATTCTGTAGTCAGAATTTATAATTATATCCTTAAATTGAATGTCATATTAAAATTTTCACTTGTACAAAATATTGAAGTCTTGTCAAATGTTTCTTTGAATCAGTTTGCCTTGGACAATACAATTTTTAATATATTGGTAAATCATAATAGCAGTTAACATATAACATGTAAATACTTAATTTTAATCCTAACAGCTCCATAAAGAAGGTATTATTACCCTCATTTTATGGAAAGGAAGACTGAAATACAGAGCAGTTAAGTAACCTGTCAAAAGTCCTGCTGGATAGCTGGTCAATGGTGGAGCCCTAGTCAACCAATCTGCTCTACAAAATTAGCCTACAACTCCTGGCATAAAACTTCACTGCTATAAATAACAATCACATAAGTTATAACTTGCTTGAACTAGAATTTATATAATTCAACCTAATGGTCTTACTTGAGTATTATTCAGCTACTGTAGACCCAGCCCCGGTACATATGTCTTATAGTAAAGTGTGACTAAAACCATTTCAAGAGTCCAGAATTCGTTTATTAGCTACTATTTATAAACCCAATGTAAATAATTCTTTGGCATTTATGAATCTCTCAAATATCAAATGTTCTTTCATTTGTCATTTACAATATACATGAACACAAAGCATAACAAAAAACTGTGGTATTGCTATTAATCACTTAGAAAAATGGACATTAGCATCCCTTAACTCTCCAATATTATATATAAGGTCAGGTTTAGGATAGGTAATAAAGAACCAAACAAGAAGAGGGTTGGGGGGAAGGGTGCTGGCCATAATCTAATATTTAACTATTAAAGAAATTAAGAAATCTGTTTATTTATATACGTATACGTATTATACTCCCAGCTTCAATCAATGTATTAGTGACTTAAGAAGGTGCTTTCACTTCATTTTCTTCATCTGTAAAATTGGTCCTAAACACCTTAACAAAAACCTAAAAGCTCCTGGTGACAGTATATTAATCATTAAGCAATTACAAAAATAGGAAGACCAAATATTTCAAGAACCATACAGAACATCCTCTGTTTAGGATTGGGAAAATGTAATTATGACAATCCCTGACTGCTCTTAAATGCCAGCCACTGTGCCAAGTGCTTCACGTGTGTTAATCTGAGCAAAGGAACTGGGCTCACTGAAGCAGCTTCGTAGCATAACACAGCAATTAAGTTGTGAGGCCAGGATTTCAAATTCAGTGTATAATTCTACATGAAACCTAAACTCATCACTTTTATCCTATTGTGTTCTCCTGAACAGTCAAGATACTGGAGAAAAAAAACCAGTCACTACTAATTCAATCACATTGTCGTTGACTTTTATGAAATTTAAGCAATTATGATGATATACAACATAAACCAATCACACAGTACAATACCTGGTATATCCACTGCCGTGAAAATCTGTGCTGTTTAAGCTTCTGATGACAGTTTGCTGTATGGAAGATTAAGCCAATCAATGAAAACGTCTTGTAATCTCCCTTCCCCCCAGAAGTCCGTCTCCAAGTAGCGGTAATAAAGTAAAAATTCAAGATATCCAATACTTAATCCTGAAAGTCGAACACGAGAGAAGAAAAAAGACTACAGAAGGTAAACCAATGACGGGGTAGGGCGATTGAAGACCAGCTGTAACTAGGCCTTAGGTTTATTCCCTTAACTCTCCAAGTAATAGTATAATCCTTAATACAGACAAATAGGTCAGCATACAAACCCCAATCCAAGTCAGAGAAATAAACGGTAATGTTTAACACCCCAATAAGAAGAAACGTCTGACATGTGAAATCAAGCTTAATCATAGAAAACAAGGAAGGGTAGGTGAGCAAATAAATGGTGCAATTTAAGCGCACTATTAGACGTAATTAACGTTTACTATCATTCTTGTAATGCACTTAGGACAGACACTTCAAAAGAGGGAGAAAAGATCCCAACTCACCGCTACATTTCCACAAGTTTGAAAGGCGGTGAACATAAACATAAAGGCAATTCCTAAAATAAGGATGTTGAAAAGCTTTTTAGATTCCGGGGACATTATGGCTCAACTCTGTCGGAGGTAAGCAGCAGCCCAGGGCAGTCCGCTCTCCTCGGGGCGAACCTACTGCAGTCCGGGGAGAAGAAATGAGATGGTGAGAGGAGGAAGCAGATACAGGAGCAAAGCAGCCAAGCTGTCAACTTCCAGATCTTGGAGTAGTATCCTGGGCTTAGGGTGTTCTCCCCACGGGCATAGTTAGGACAGTCCTAGGATACGGTCCGAGTAGGGAAGAGCCCAAGGCCCGGAGAAGCGCCAAGACCGTCGTTGCGCCAAGTTGCTGGGCCCGCCGGGAGGATTAGAGGCCAAGAACTAGGTGCAGCGGCCGGCACAGCCCCGCCCGCCCAGCCCTGACTCACCGCAGGTCAGGCGACCCGGTCACCTGACCGCAGTCGCGGCGCCGGCCGCTGGGCCCGCTGGGAAATGTAGTCCGGGGGGGGGTCCGGGACGCTCAGGCGTTCCGCGAGGGCTCCCTCGCCCCCTCACGAGGGAGCGGGGCCCGATCCGATCTCGCGGGCTCCGGCGAATGGGGGCTAAAGAGCAGAACCCAGCGAACGAATCGGGAACTGCGGGAGGGGGTCTGGAGACCACGAAGCGCGGTCTGAGGAGTCCAGAAACACAGAGGGGCAAGTGGGTGAAGGAGTACCCTCTCTGACAGAGGCAGAGCTAAGGTCCGAGCAGAAAGGCTGCGTGGAGCTTGGACATTGGCATGAAAAGAAGGCGGAGCCCAGTTGGGCTGCACCGCCCCTTCCCCCTGTCACAGAGCTCCTCGTAGCCGGAAGGAGCGTTTCGCGGGCTTTCCAACTGCCGGCCCCTCCCGCTCCCCCTCCCTGCAGCAGTGACTCCGCGCTTTTCGACCCGCCCGCCAGGCTCTGCGCAGGCGCCTCGGACAGGGGCGGGGCGTGCGGCAGAGACGTTGCGGGGCGGGGAGGGGCGAGCCAATCAGAGGATTCATTTCCGGGTGGCGCGGTCGCCATTTTGTGAGGAGGGATATAAATGGGCGCTGGAGCCGCCCGCCCGCCAGTTGTTTCTGAGGTGGAGTCGGCTCTGGAGCTGTCGAGGCGGTGTCTCCCATCCGCCTTTCCCAACGTTTCCACGCGGAAGCCAACCGCCAGAGCAGAGGCGCGGCGTCGAGCCGAGCTAGTCTGAGGAAACCGCCGCCGCCGCAGCCGAGCGCGCGGGCCCGCCGGGGCGTTAGTTCGTCG